GCAGTGTTTCCCAAACTTGACAATTTTAAGGCATGTGGACTTCAACTCCCAGAATTCCACAGCCAGCAATGCTGGCTGTGGAATTCTGGGAGTTGAAGTCCATATGCCTTAAAATTGTCAAGTTTGGGAAACACTGGGCTAATGTAATGGGGCGAAGCTGGTTCTGCAACAAATGTTTATTATTTATATTGTTTATTGTATAAACATTATATTGTAGCTGTTTATTAAATAGAAGAGTACATCATTGTAGCAATTTATGTAATTTGTGTAATGGCCATTATGCAAATACGTATGTCATCACACAGATGGCTTTATTTGCATATTGGTAATCTATTTGATATAAAGTCCATTATATCAAAGTCCGCTGAATTGAGGTATCACTGTAAATACCATTAAAGCAAGTTTTAAGATTCTTTTCATAAAACTCTTGTGATTAGGAACTGTATACAATTATTTGTTGGGGACATTATTTATTATATTTGCCAAAAGAACAATAGTTACCAGTTTTTATATGTTGTACTAGAATCTTTGTTTCTTTCTGACTGGCATTCTTCAGCAAACAAGAAAAACATTGCTTCTTGTTAAAATAATAATCAAGTGCATTTTTAACTATTCATAAATAATCTTATTTTTTTTCCTCTTTAGTTAAAAATGAAATCTATCTTTTGAATTTTAGATTACAAAAGATGATTTCCTGACATTTGATTATATCCTTTGCATGGATGAAAGCAATCTACAGTAAGTGTTAAAAGCTATGAATTTTGCTAATAAATGTTTGTATACCTCAGCATTCTCTCTTCTTGTCACTGAAAGGAAACCCCTGTAAAATTCAATGTTCTTCTTTCCAAATAGACTTGTGTAAGCTTATTTAAAATGTATAAAAACATTAGAATGGAACATACAGGTGTGAAAAACAGGAGCCTTTCTGTCGGTCTGAAGCACTGGCATATAGTATCTCAGCAACCACTTTTGTCTACTGTGTCTCTGATATTACCTTCATCCCACCCACAAGGATAGCTTCAAATGGTCCTCAGAATTCCAGTTTTAAGTAGTAGCATTTTCCCCATAAAGCAGGCTGCACACCTGGACAGTTTTACAGTGGGTATAGATTTAATGGCTATTTTGATGGATTCACAGTGAAGTGAAACCTAGCATATCTAGGGGCCTCTTTAGCTGGCTCAGGTCCCCCCTGTCCCCCCTAATATTTGAGCATTGTTAGATATTTTAATTTTAATTCTAACAGCAGGAAAATCCAGTTTGTTCATACGTGATCTCCCCTTTTAGCTCCTACTTCTCCAGGCAGAGGAGCCTAGATTAGTTCAAACATTAAGCTGACCCTCTCTACCTCTTTACACAGCAGCTCCCTTCTGCCATGCCTATAAGCCAGGGGTGTCAAACTCAATTTTATTGAGGGCCGCATCAGCATTGTGGTTGTCCTCGGGGGGGGGGGGCTGGGTGGGTGTGGCCAGGGTGGATGTGGCCTACTGGGTGGGCGTGGATAGAGTGGGTATGGCCTACTGGGTGGGCGTGGCCAGCTCTACATCATTCGCGTCAAGGGTGCCTGTGGGGGCCTGGGCAGGAGTGGGATAGATCTGAGGGTCTCTTGCAGAAGGGGGTGGGACCGGAGCAACCGCCAAGGCATGGTCCATTTCTTCATTCCTCACAAAGGGTGACACCTCCCCAGCATGCACCCAGGGGGTGGGGCCGATGCGGCAGGGGTTGATTCCTTGCTGTTTCCAGACGGCCTTGTGGAGCTAAGACTGAATGCGTTTCAGCATAAATGGCCACCACAAAATTGTACATTGGCTCCTGGCCGGCCAGGGCCCAGGCAGCGGGGGCTGTTTCCCTCACTGTTTCCAGGATGGCTTTGCGGGCCACATGAAACCACTTTGCGGGCTGCATCCGGCTCCTAGGCCTTGTGTTTGACATGTCTGCTATAAGCAACAACTGGTTTGACTGTCTTTCACTAGAGCTTTAAATCTGCATCCAGTAGAAGCCTGAGTTCTCTTTGAATGGATTTATGCAATACATATGCACAAAGTCAGAATGAGTTTTAACAGATCGCTAAACCCACCAGCCTAGCCATCTGTTAGAACTCACTTCCCATCCTACATGAAGGAATGATAAATGTTTTCCTCATAGCTGGTGATACTTGATGGATCAGGAAAGAAACAATGCTGGGGGAATCTCCTTGTCCCTTTCCTTAACATGCCGTGCACACAGCAAAATAAAGTCATAGCCATTTGGCAGAGTTATGCTGTGGTAGGATAGATGCAACAAATATTATGCTGGTTAAAGGACTGGTGGATAATGCTTTAAATTGACTGAGGGAAACAGTCATAACACAGTTCCATTTCCTCATCTCCAGAACTTTGATTTCAATTCCATATTTGACAGACAGATTGACATCCCTCAATTGCAGCTTCCCTGTACAATTTAAACATCTTCCTTTGCTTTAGGATTCTCTCTTTTACATCAGGCCAAAGGTTGGATCATGACTTAATTAGGGCTTGCCTACTTTATATGTTCCATTCTGACAGATATATTTTCTGGTTAATTGCAAGAGGTCAGCCATTATCTACTGGCAGGTACCTGAAGGAAAATGCAGCATTTTCACAATGAAAAATCACAATTTTTATATGTGATTTTTCATCCCATTTTATTGGCTGAGAGTAAAACTGTAAGATATTTGTTGCCTTCCCCCCCCCCAATTTTTCTTCCAAAATAAATTATTAACACATTTCCATTTCTACTTGGCAAAATGCTTGAAAGCCATGGAAAATTCCTCACTGTGGATCTCATTGTGAATAGATATCTTTGTTATCAGGGGAGTCTATTACAAGTGAAGATGCTTTTTTTATATACAGCAATACTGATGAAAAAGATATGCTCTACTTAATAATAATGAAAAGTTAACTAATCTGTTTTAGAGACTTGAGAAGAAAATGCAATCAAATTAAAAACTGCAAAGCTAAAATTGAACTCCTTGGTAGTTATGATCCAGAGAATCAGCTTATTATTGAGGATCCATATTATGTAAGTATTTTCTCATTTAATCTATTTAATTATCGTTATTTGTAAGAAAAAAAATGTAATTTAGGACTCTATGTTTTCTCTCTTTTTTCTTTCCACCTCCAGGGAAATGATGAAGATTTTGAAACTGTTTATCAGCAATGTCTCAGATGCTGTAAAGAATTTTTGGAGAAACCTCATTGATGTGGTTATGTTTCTGAACGTGAATAATTCTATGACATTAGAGCAAAATCTCAATTAACATTAAACTATGATAGTGTGCCTCTAAAATAGATACACTGGTGCATTCTTAATTTTAATTGTTGTTGTAGTACACCAAAGTATATTACTTGAGAAGATGTTTTTTCAAAATTAAATTGATCTTATCACAGTGATGGCGAATCTTTTAGAGGCCGAGTGCCCAAAAACTGGCCCCGACCCTGCTCCACCCCCCCATCTCCTGCCCTGCATGCTCGCAGGGCCACTCACCGCCTCCAGGTCACGCCCTCTGCCCACACCGTGCAGCATCAACTGTGCACGATGGGGTGTGAAGGCAGAGTCTTGTCTACACTGCCTGGCTGCCGTGTCCTTGGCTGTGCTGCTCCATGTAGGCCACGCTCAGGGGCGACTTTCCTTCTGGGGAGCTGCTGGAGAGGAGGGGGTCATGGGGGAGGCGAGGCTGTGGCAACGGCACGTGTGCCCACAGAGAGGGCTCCGAGTGCCGCCTCTGGCACCCGTGCCATAGGTTCGCCACCACTGTCTTTTATATATATTTATATATATATATATATATATATATATATATATATATATATATATATATATATATATATATATATATATATGATAAATGACTATCGTGCTGGTCATCTATATAAGAAAAAACTGTTGGTACTAAACTAATTGAAAAAAATATGTGTGATTCCATATACCTCCGACCACAATTGAGCCTGGAATTTTGGTCGTACGTTGTGGTCATTAAGTGGGTAATCACATGACCTAACTCAGTTTTTCAGCTGCATTATGGTTGTCCCAAGCATGATTGTTAAGCGACCAGGCAGGTTGTTAAACAGAGTGCAGGGTGTCTCAAGAGGTGAGGGAGTCCCTGGGGGGCTTGGCGCAGGCCATGTGCAAGTTACAGGGTTGCTGTGGCATGGCACAGATGTAGGAAAGCCAGGGAAAGAAGCTGTAGTTGGCCCTGCAGTGCAGTAGAATAGTGCAGCACACAGAAAGATCAAAACACCTGGGAAGCTTCCACAGTGGGGCGTAAAGCAGCCTGCCATCATGAAGCTCTGAATGCCTGGGAAGTTCCAATCCAGCTGCCCTCTCTGCCCTGCCCTGCCTACCCCACGGCAACTGACCTTTACCGGCCTGGATCTTTATGAAAAAGAAGAAAAATGCTAAAGGCAGCAGCTCAGCTACAGTGTCTTAAACTACCTGTTTTCCCATTATCCTGGGCAAGGCTGGAACACTGGAGCTTGCTTCATGATAAAAAAAGAGCTTGCCTCATTTTGCCAGGGCTCTGTGAAGGAAGCCTTGTTTCCCAAGGATGCGTAAAGCACCCTTAATTCTAAAAGCAAACATTTTGGCTGGCTTTAGCATTCTCCCCCCCTTTTTTTTCAGAGTCAGACTGAGCATGCCTTAAAACGTGATAGTTTTAAGAGGTTTCGGGTTGATTTTCCCGGGTTAAAACCATTGAGCTCATGTTCCCAGTGGAGATCGGCTTCAATGGAAATAGCTCCCTTTTGGGGGGGGGCTGCCTTACGCCCTTGGAGTCTCCTGGGCATTTGGAATTTCCCACGGGGCAGCTGTTTTGTGCCCCACTAGGGAGGTTCCCAGGGTGTTCAGCCCTGGGAAGGCTGACTGCTTTGTCCTGCCCCATTCCACTTCCCTGGCATTTAAAATCATAGATGGGGGCAGGGGAGAGATAGGCAAGTGGAAGGAACTTGAATTTTGATCAGGTGACTACGGGGAGGCTAGGGTGGCTCTAACTTCTGGCACAGGTCATAAGCCATTGCAGTACTAAGTCGAAGAACGCCTGTATACAACAGTTCGTTTAGTGACCGTTCAAAGTTACAACAGCATCGAAAAAAGTGACTCATGACCGTTTTTCACACTTATGGCCGTTGCAGCATCCCCATGGTCATGTGATCAAAATTGAGACGCTTGGCAACTGCAGTGATTCATTTAACAACTTTAGTAGGCAAGAAAGGTAAAATGGGCTCAATTTGGGTTCAATTGTGGTCATAAGTCGAAAACTATCTGTATTGTAGTTACATAAAAATTCTTAGATTTGTAAATATGGCACACAGGCCTGTTTCCTATTGCTGTTGTTAACTATGGTATGCTAAACATTTTTCTTTTCACATTGAAACGTTATAAATACTTCCCTCTACATTTTTATTTGTCAGTTGTTAGATGACTGAAAAATAGTATATTTTGATATCCTTTCATCACTATATGTTATACAAAATATAGATGTGGAGGTAAGCCAGAAGAAAAATAATAATGTAGGAAAGATTTTACGATATTCAGCCATATAGAATGCTGTGAATCAAATATGTGATGCACTGACAAAAGAATTTCCTGGTGGTATAATCTTTTTTAAAAGAATATGAATTGAAGTAAATCACCACTTATTTATTTTTAAACTTAAAAGAAAATTGCCTTAAAGGCCATTGACATAATGTTTGAAAAAAATATTATAGCGTTTGGAAGTAAGATAATAATAGATTATGTGTTTCAAATTCTGATCAGTTCCTTACAGCTCCAGCACCAGTAGAAATAGAATAGACTATAAGTAAACTTCCTTAATTTCCATAATATGAAAAAAACTACAAGTTTTCTGTTAGAGAATCATAACATTCTTGTTCGTTATACAAATGTAACCTTATGGAGCCTGGTATATATTTTGCGGAAGGCATAAAATGACTGAGGGAAGGATTAAAAAACTTACAGAGTTGATAGTTTTCCAGTGGAAATAAAACCATAACCCCCCCCCCTTTGCATTTTATGCCAGTTTTTACTGATTTTTCTTATGAAAAATCATTGGTTTCTTTCTTTTCTTCACCTGCTCCTTCCTGTTTTTGAAACAGTATTGTTTATGGATGCATCAAGAATAAGCCAAAGAGAAGCTGTTAGACAGAAGCAGGCAGTGAAGTCCATAGTAAGCCGGCAAAGATCTGCTTATTAAAAAGCACATGCTGAAGGATGTTGACATAAACCAATGATTCCATGCAGATACTGCATGAGTCATTTCTACTGATGATTGTCAGTATATGCAGTATAATATTGTGTGGTTAATTGTTTAAAAGATAACAGAGGGTTGTAGGTAATTGTTTGCCAAAACTTTCATCTTCTTCTCAGAGTATACTTCGTCTGCATTTTGCAATTATTCAGAGCGTTGCCAGAGAGTCGAGAATTCTTATAAACACTGAATGGGGAAGTACAAGCCAGCATTATTTTTTTCCTTTCTCTTTTAGAGTTAGGATTTGTGTGTCTTCAAGTCTTCCCAAAAGAGGAAGCCTCATAGGCCTGTAATGGACTTCGCTGCTGTTCATGTTACCTTCTGGATTTGTCATTTTTAAGCAGATGTAATTCCTATTAATAAGATGCTTTGCTCAAGTTCTATTAAAACGTACTCTAGGAACCTGTTTTGCTTTCCTTAATGTCAGGATTCATTTCAAATAAATTTACAGTCATCATAATTAACTTCCAGGCATGTGATTAGCATGTGCAAGACCAAATAAAATAGTGAAAAAGCTATTTTACTTGTAAAATTTTCATTTTATGATTTACCTAATAACTTTATAAATGTATTTTGGAAATTAGCTATGCAAAGAGATGACATATGAAACCTGGTCCTGATCATGTACAAAGTTTCTATGATAACTGTTGATTTACCACTTAAAAATAAGACTCTATATTCTTATAACATTTATTAAGGATATTAAAAACTAGTGTTTTATATATTATCCTTAACTGGACTTTTTGTTAGCAAAATATATTGTTAGCAAGGAACAATATATTTGAACAAGGTTTATCTTATTCTAATTGATAATTCTTTATCTAATTGAATACAAAGGGATTTTACAGTAAATTTGACATTTGTGTTTCATAGCCAACAAGTTTTGGTAGACTTTTTTTTTTTAACTTAGAATGATTTGATCATAACCATTTTTATTACAGTTAATGATTGGGACAAATTTCGATGGTATTTATGATTATTGCAAGCAAATTCCTCACTTTTAATATATTTAAACAAACCTGAGACTCTACTCAAATATCCTTAAATACCGATGTTTCCTCTGAACAGACTTTGAAAGTTACTATTTTCCCAAGGTCTCTGGTATTTTTTAAGCTGTCTCTCATTTGTGGGTAATTGATGCCAGCACTGAATGTTTATATACACAGAAAAACACTGTTACCTATTGATTTAATTTGAAAAAATTAAGGCTATTTTTTAAAAAAAGCTTTAATCAGTTGTAATTCTACTTGAACCTTTTATGTTTTTTTAAGGGCAGAAAATCTAAATAATTAGGAAATATAATAAAATGTTTATAGTTAATTAAAAATAAATTGATTTTAGTTGTAAAAGATATACAAAAGCTGTTTGTAGTGTGATGTAGTATTGTCCCAAATAAGACTGCTATTTTTTTTAATCATGTGGTTTCCAAGGATACTGTGGGTATAACACATCTTGATCTCAGTAAAGCATTTGACCAAGTACCATTATGGATGGTAATACCTATTAATTGACCCCAAAGTGGACCCACAGTGGGTTTAAATGAATTCTCATATAGTGATTTCTCATCAGATTGGAGAGGGATCTTGTTATTATTTTATTAGAATCTTGAGCACATACAAATACCATCCTGATGACACAACCTTAGATGTCTGAACTGAGAAAGAGTTTGGAATCAGTGGCCAAAATGCTGTCTTCCAATTCCATGATTCTATGTAGCTTGAAAGCGATGTTATCTATTTTAGAATGGAAGTAGGTGAAGCAAATTTAGAGTTAACATCTTATTAACTGGTAGGATGAGAAGGATGAAAGCATGATTGAGCAGGCAATAGCGTTTCACTCTGAAAGAGTTATTTGGCAGGTTTGAAATATGCCCTCAGTTACACCTGTGGTAATTGACTGCCATCACTGTGCAGTGCCAAGTTACATTAAAATTAATTCTTATTAGAACTATTTAAATGCATAGTGCTTATTGTCAACCCTCAAGTATTGAGAAGTATTAATAAAATGGAAGTATTGAGATCAGTTAGTACTCTTCAGATCTACTGAGTTGCAGCCTCTGAAATCTATCCAGAATATACACTGGTTAAATCTTATGGGAATAGGAATCCAGCATATGTGGAAGACCTCAGGTTGCATACCTCTGCTTCCGAAGCACAATTTCTTTCAAACTTGAATATGCAAGGAATAAACAGAATCAAATTATATACAAAACATGTTATTACATATATTTGTGAATTTACAATATGTACATATTGCACATTTAGCTGGAATGTATATTTCTATTATACAGGAAACAAGTGACTTTAGAGTGGGTGCAGAATCTAACCTAAAACATGTTCATCCCTTGCTTATGGCATGCTGTCTAGCAGACCACCACTGTAACAACTCTATGAAAAGTTTGTAATGTAACATTTTCAGTTTTTTAAGCAAGAAAGATATAAAATGATGCTTCCTCTAAAGGCAGGTTTCCTTGACAGTGGACTGTAATGTCTCTTAAGGGAAACATGTCTATACTTGAAAAGATGTTACTTGTTACTTTTTTTGGCAGTACAACACAACTGTTGTAGAGCAACTTTAAAGCATAAAACATGAACAAATAATTAACATTTTGGTAGTTTTTCACTATAAAGAATGCATCTGTAAACAGCGATGATGGGATACAAAACACATTTTTAAAGATTTATGAGAAGTAGTCCATCAATTTCCAAAAATAAATCTATGGTTCATAATGCCATATATTACAAAAATGCTAAGTTCAATTTCCCTGTCAGTTTCCAAGGCACTTCTCTTGGTTCTTTTATATATGTTTCCTTTGATAATAGTAGCATCTGAAGTAAAACAAAAGCACAAAATAAATATTTAACTCTACTTTTGCTGATATTTCACATTAATTTTCAATGAACTCTGTTAAATAATAATTCAGTTTATTTTCAGTTCTTGTTGCAATATGGGGACTAAGATAAATGAGAAAAACCTTCCATAATATAAAAATCTAAACTTGATCATCTATGTTACAAGATACAGTAAAATATTCCCAGGTTCCAGTCACCAATTTCCACCCCTGCAGTACAGTTTCTTCTTTCCAAGCTTACTAATAATACTATTTTGCACAAGGCTGATCCTGACTTATTCTGAAGCACAGCACAGATAACTTGAACATTGGAAATAAAAGAAATGGCATTAACTTACTTTTCTTTTATATGAAATAACTGATTCAAAGAAAAAAATAATTCAGTGATTCTCTTTTGGGGGCAATCATAGTTCCTGGTATTGCTATACTGTATTGCTAAGCAGGTTTAGTAATTCAAATACAAATTGCAGTTGAATAAGCAAATACATATTAATGCTGTTTCATTCTATGTGTAACAAAAGCAACAGCATTTACATACTGCATTATATCATGAATGGTGTATATATGTAAGTGGCTTCTACATGTATCTAATATTAAAATATGTCTATTATATGGACAAAAAGATATCCAGTATAAATAGAGAGAAATGGCAGTTGATTTTATTCCTGAAAAATTAGCTATGCCTATTAGCTTTGAATTTTAAAAAATACACTATCTACTAACTGCACACTATTATGAATAATTCACAGTTGTTGCCTGAGAGTCTATACTGTATTACTTTCCAGTAGGGGATATGTTTTTATTAAGGGTAAATATTTTACTAAATGAAAGGGTTTGTATCACTGTTTCAAATGAGCATATTTCAATCCAAAACATTCTGCCAGTGCTTATGAATTAGTTATTGTTATCAACATGCTGGCAGCATGCAGTTCTTCATCTCAGTAATCTTACCTTATCCTTCTGTGCACATTGGACTTACTGCCAAGCGAGTAAGGAGCCTGGCGCATCTTTTATAATCTGTGGGAAGTGTAAAAAGAGGGTTGGTTTATTACATTTTTTTAAATGTGCAATTTGTATGAGGGAATATAAATGTAACTAATTCATCTTGGAGCACTATATTGTAGATTTGAATTTGTATGCTTGAGGTAATTTTAAATACGCTACTTAGATTTTTAAGAATGGTGTGGATGGATGGATGGATGGATAGATAGATAGATAGATAGATAGATAGATAGATAGATAGATAGTTTGCCATCCTATGAAGTCTGATGTGGCATAGGATGCTGTTGGATGGATTATTTTGTCAGATTAAGATGATGGATGTTTACTAATATCCATGAAAAGATTATCCACATGCATGAGAAAAATTGGTTTGTATGTTTCTGCAGTGAACTATTTGTATAACTAATTGTCCCTATGAAGAAAATAAAAAATTCAGGTTAATCATGATGCAAATTAATCATCATCTAGCTACCCATATAATATGGGAATAAGATAACTGCTAACAGGATAGCAGTAAACAGCAGAAAGGAGGACTCGGATGCTGAAAACCTGTAGAAAAGGAGGAATACTGCTGCTTCCATGTGTAAAGATTGTCTAGATTAGAAAAGCAGTTCTCAGTCTTTTGCATCTTAAAACACACCATTCAGTCCATCAAAAGTCAAGTCCCATAATAAAACCTATTATTTCAAAAGAAGGTTTATATACGTTCAGACTTTCTGTTGCCATAAATATAGGAAGTTTTAAGGATGTAACTTTTCAGTGAATTACTCTGTGTCCCGTTAAACAATACTATTTACTTATTTATTTAGCATATTTAGGAACTGCCCATGTCCTTCATAGAGTGACTCTTAAATATTAAATTATGCAACATTGCTTGCACAGTGTCAACTTTTAAATGAAGTATATTGATGCTCATTAATTAAGTAGTTCCAGAGCATATTAGTGAAAACACTGGGAGCTAAAACGAGTAATAGAAGCAATAGCAAATCATGTAAATTCATTTTCATCTCAGGAACTAATCATAGCAAGTTTTTGTTAAAGAGCAGTTTCATATTGTATGTTTGTTCCCATGCAGATATATGCAGAAATGTGGATGCAGTAATAAAAAGAAATGTGGCTCGCCAAATCCTGCATTTAGGCTGCCATTTAGTTCTGTAATTCAGTTCCTCACGTATCATTTAAGTTCACTCTAGCAATCAGGATTGGTTTTAAATCCTGTGAAAAGCACTCTTAGTAGAAAAACCTTGCTATAGGGTAATACACTTTGCCCAGAATATAGTTTTTCTAGAATCTAATTAATTCCCAACCGCCAAGCTGATTTTAAAACATCATTTTTTTAAAATCCATAACCTTGTTGGAAAATAGGAAATATATACTTTGTTGAATTGCTAACTCTTTATTTGGGAAATCTTTGACTAGATTTGACTAAATAAATAAATTTGGTCATTGTAAGACTTAATATGGTTCCTTGGTTTTGGTTTAGACTAGTTGAACAAACAACTGTTGGTTCTTCAACTAGTCTAATAGTTGGTTCTTCAACTAGGTATTTACAGAGTTGACATAATGTGTAAGATTTTGTAGTCAGTTTGTGAATAGCAGGATAATCTCATAAGGAAAAACTACTTGCAGAAATCGTATCACCTGTTTACATCATAGAAGTAAAAATGTGCAGTTTATGTATTTATGCAAGTTCAAACTGTACTAAATGACTAAGTTCCAATGAGATTTAAAAAAAAAAAAGTATTCGTGTGTTGTAAGTATCTTCTCTGTATTTCAAGAAAAAGAATATGAACTTTTTGAATTTTCTTGATGTAATTGGCCCAAATTTTGAATTTTTATATCTAAATCCCTAAAAAAGGGTTGACAGCAAGGGGTAGTCAATCATTATCATTATCATCTAAAATGTATACATTTGCCATTTAATAATGTGGAATTTGAATTGGTTTCATTGATAGCACTTCATTTCTATTACTGGCTTTTCAGAATTCAGAGTATTTCAGCATAGTATAAGTTGTTTTTCATTTTCTTAAGAAATTATACTCTGAATAATTGCTTTTCTAGCAACCAAGATTTTTCAGCTGTGTATTCTTGCTCTAAGCGCAAAAAAATTTTAATTGGTAAATGTCTGTTATCTGATCTGATAAGAAATTCAGTTCCTGTACTGAAATCCTAAAACAAAAAGAGTTTTGGCATATAATGAAAGAACAGATTGACTGCCTGAAAAACTATGTTTTAAATGCTTGTTTATGAAATTAGAACCATTTAGATCTCCCTGAGGAATTGCAAAAGAGCACTGTTCTGTTTCATCACTGTAACTCTACAAACTCTTTAAGTGTATCATAATTATACAGAGTGATTATTCTTTAAAAAGCTATATTTATTAGTAATTTTGGTCTTGGATGATAGAACTTACATGCAGGTATGGTACAATCTCTTGTATGGTGATAAAGTCTGTGAAAGTGTTTAGTGCATTTTGGGCTAAAATAAAGGTGACCTGGAAAAGAAGAAAAACGGTGGATTAATTTAATTGATGCTATAAGAGAAAGGATTATAATTGAGGTAATGATTCAGATGTGAAATTTGACTTACCTGTTAAATGATTTAAAAATTTGTCTTTCATTCTTAAGTCTCTAGGAAATATTTCTGTTAAGGAGAATAAAGACACGTATTTAGAAGAATCAGTATTTATATTCTGAATCATAATTTCTTGGAATATACAATTTAAGGCAAAAATTAAAAATGTCTGAAAGGGCAACGATGTTTTAGAAGCACAGTACAATCTGTCTCTTTTGTTTTCCATTGATACAGTTGGAACAAAAGTCCTATATAATTAAGATATTTCCATCTAATAAGAGCAGCAAGATTTTGAGTAAAGATGACTAATATTTGGCATCACAGCTATAATCTTGCTAAAAGTTCTTGGAAATCAGTAAATTGTAATTATTTTGCTTTATTTTTGTGCTTCATAGGGACAACATTACTGAGTTAAACTGGTAGAATTAAATAATAATTAGGACTATCTCAGAGGAATTGGAATAGATAGGTACTTCATGCAATGGTTCTCTTTCTAAAAGGGTGTTTCTGGCACTAATGATACAGAAAAACACTGTCTCTGATTCTGAACAAGTATTCCCCCACTCTGAGGTAGTCCACAATTTGGACATTCTCCTAATCATACCTCTGCTTGGGGAACAGGTGATTACTGTAGTAAAAAAAGGTTTTGCCCAGTTTCATCTTGGGCAACAATCGTGAACTTTCCTGGATCAGGACCCCCTGCTCATAGATAATAATTATCTAGCCACTTCCCATTTGGACTATTGTAATATGCTTTATGTGGGATTGCCTTGAAGAGTGTCAAGAAGCTATAATTGCACTGGCCTGAGCAGTCCTGGATCTATTTTATATGTATACAAAAGGCAGTGGCTTAGGGAGTCCTGGATGTATTTTAATCTGTTCTGGTGATCTCTCTATTCTGGGATTACAAACTAAAGCAGTGGTTCTCAACCTGTGGGTCGGGACCCCATTTGGGGTCAAACAACCATTTCACGGGGGTCGCCAAACAACGCAGTCCGCCATTTCCCCCCCTTTTCCTTAGCTGTGCTACTCCCTTTTATTCTATTGGCTTTTGAAAGCCAATAGAATAGACTCTCTTGAATAGAGTCTCATTCTATTGGCTTTCAAAAGCCAATAGGAATTGTCCAGGCTGTCTCTGCCCTGCTGAGCCCGCCAAAAGTCCCATTCTGCAAACGCTGCACCAGTTGAATAGTCCTCGACTTACGACCGGTTGAGTAGTCCTCGACTTATGACCGGTTGGGGGTCACGGCATTAAAAAGTTTGAGAACCACTGAACTAAAGAGATTCCTCTGATCCCTTCAAATTCTAGCTTCTCTGTGCATTTCTATTCTTTTGGTTTGATGCTGATTTGCTGGCAAAGGTGTCATGGACCTTCTAGTTGCTTTAACTAAAGCTGCTCTGACATGAGAGGGAGAAAGGACTGTCAGCTTAAGTCTCGGCAGCTGTGAGTAATATCCAAGATCATTTATCTTAAATTATGCAACATTGCTTGCACAATGCCACCTTTTAAATGAATTTTATTGACACTCGTTAGTTAAATAGTTCCAGAGCACATCAGTGAAAAAACTGAAAGCTAAAGTGAGTAATAGAAGCAATAGCAAAACTTGTAAAATCATTTTCATCTTGGAACTAAGTATAGCATATTTTTCTTAAGGAGCAGATTTATATCATATGCTTCTACCCATGCAGATTTATGCAAAATAATGAGTGAGAAAAAGAAATGTGTCTTACTAAATACTGCATTGACAGACTATTATATTTTGGAAGAAATGAAACCATGTTGTTAAACAAAATATGGAGGTGATTGGGAAATACATATAGCTATTTTGTTATTTACTGCTGTAGTTTGCTTCCTCATAGCTTATTCAATGGATAGGAATATAACTAGCTTATTGAAATCCTCTTTAGCTTCTTATGGCCATCTCTTTGATTTAGTGTATTTATAATTTTGTCATGATGACAATTGCATTTGATCATTAATATTACCATAAATTAATGCATAAACAGCATTTCCTTTTGTAACTTTTACATTCAACTATATCTGGTCCACTGGGGAGTTTAGCTATTTCTCAAAATTTAACTTTTATTTATTTCTAAGTATAGCCCAACTCAGTTGAATTGATCTTATCATATTTTGATTTAATTCTGTCAATTGCAGCACTAAATGCTTAGATACATCTCTCAAAAATCTTGCAAAATGAAGGCAATTCAGAAAAGTTTCTTCAGAAAAGTATTTTAGAAATTGGCAAGTTTTCATTAGAACAGATAGTCCTCATCTGTATAGTCCAATTATAGTCTACATAGCAAAATTACACACTGAATTCAATCTCTTGCTTAAGCAGATTTTGCAGTTTTAAATTTGTATATTTAAAAAAATTGCTAAAATGTATGATAAAATATATATCTCAAATTTTTGGTGAATGCATCCTTGTCATTTTACGGATATTATTGAAGTGGTTTACCCTTGCCTTCTTTTGAATATGTTTTTTTCAATTTCTCTCTTTAACCAATAGTTCTAACCTTAGCGAGTAATGCTAAGGTTTCTAGCCACAGTTGACCTTGCTGGATTCTGAGTTTAGCCAAGCTGAGCTAAATGTTCACCAAATGATGAACATACGAGTTATATAAGCTTTTTAAAATACACATAACCAGTATTAGCGGAATGTATCTCTAGGATAAACAAACATCTATTAAAAGCACCACGCATGTTTCACCATACATTTTTCTTTTCCCTATAATAATTAAATTTCCTTGCACAAAAATCAAGTATACCTTAGCTTTAAACTAGATCTGCTCATTAATTTTGTTGGTATTTGAGCTTCTAGTACTGTCCCACTGCTGCCCAGAAATTGCATAACTAAAGATTTTTGTTGTTATATTTGTTCTGCTTTTAAAAGGTCAGTTTTGTTCATTTAATTGAGATAGGACTTAAGTACCAGTGGTCAATATACAATGATGGCTAGTTGTCACCAAATTAGAGAGGGGGATCTCTAAGGACATACTATCTGGAGCTTTATCAGTGGCACTTGGTGAGGTAATTGGCACTTGTGATGTCAGCTGATTTCAGCTGGACATCCGCCCTGGTCTTCAGAATTGTGCATAGTTATCTCTGTTTTCAGTGGCTAGCAAAATCAAGATAAACAATACAAAATTATTTCAGTTGAAGTCAGATATTTGGTGCACAATTCAGATTAACTGAGTTATATTTTTAATAAAAATATTCATACCTAGGCAGATAAAATGCAGCACTAAGCAACCTTAATTAATTGATCCCTGATAGACCTTCTTCCAAAGAAATACAGCATGTATTTCACTAAGATGAAAATCACATTAAACATTAATAGATTATGATAAGTACAACTGGTTTTCCCATAAGATTGTATTTTTTGTTACATTGAAAGTTCTTTCCCCCCAACAAATTACTAATACAAAATTAACTATTCTAAGAAAAACCTTTAAATCTGAGATTCTTAATTTTTTTCAATAGAATGAGATGTGTTTGCAGAAAAAAAACCCTTTTTATTTTATAGTATTTTGCATATGTGAGGAACCAAAAAGCTAAATCTATGTACCTAGTTTCTGGGCAGTCAAATATTTTTAAAGTATGTTCCATATTCACTGTTTTCTTTAGACTTAAAACCAGACAATATTCTTAACATGAAATTTAGTCCATCAGTTCTGTTGACACTTTAAGAAAAAACATGTTTGTTTCACAGATAGCAAAGCACCAGCATAAAAGTAAAATAATTTATAAACAGGGTTTAAACAAATGCAATCACTTTTAAATCTCATTGGTTTCAGTGTGGGAGGTGGGAAAAGAATTATAATTGCTTACAATTATACTTTCTATCAATAGCCTTTTTAAAAAGCACATTAGTCTCATATATGTCATATGATCCTTCCTGTGGAGAATCAGATGAGTAGAGAAGACGTTGATCTGATTTGCACATTGCACTGAACCATTTTAATAGACTATAGTTAGTTGGGCTGAAACAATATGCTAAAACAAAATCAAGCAATCACATGTTGGCTTAATGTAATAAGTTACCATACATATATTAAAAGGAAATCTTATTTTGTTCTAATAGCACAAACTTTGTGTCAGTTACAAGATTCACTTTGAGGAGATGTTAAAATTAATGAGGCTTAAAAAAGTTAAAGTACTGAACACTATGGCACATCATCTTGAAGGAATAAAAGGTGTATATATCCCATTTTCTCAAAACCATGTTTGTATGTGTTAATTGAAGAGTAATGGGAGATGACTTCCTATCTTTTTAATTTTTCCATTAATGCCAATGGGACTCTAGGATGCTAAACTTAATATAGAATAAATAAGCAGTAGAGAAGTAGAAAATATGAGATAGACTCAAAGGCAACTCAATCATCCAACAGGCTTGGATTCTTGCACAATTGCTTTTGATTCCAAGCAGACAGCAAGCAAAACACACTTAAAATATGCATATGAAGAAATGGGAATTTTACCAGATTCATTTGCTCCATGCATATAAGACTGCACCTGAACACCCAGTGAACTGGGGACTTTTAAACTAGGAATGCATTATAAATTCACACCAAAAACAACAGTTATGATGCTAATTTATTTCTGTATCATTTTCCTCCTAGATGAGCCCAGAGCAGGTCCATAAAGAATAAACATAATTTTCAATAGAGTAATAAAAATCAAGAAAAAATAATAGATGAAAAAGCTAATTTTAAGAAAGGATTCTAAAAGATGGTATACCGGAAACAGTTATCTACTCATGCCTGGATGAAGAACTATTATTTTCAACATAAAAACAAAAACAAAAAAAACCTCAGGCTAGCTATACTTTCCATAATAATGAGTATTTCTTCGGAGAAGACTTTTCCTAGCCAAACCCCAAAGGAGACCACAAGCAGAACCTCCCTTGCTGATCTTTAGTGCATGGCCTGGCAATCTTGTAACCTTTGATTCTTAAACTGCTCAGAACTTTGTAAGTTAATTGAAACACTTGTGTTGGTCCAAGAATTCACAGTCAGTGCAGCATTTTCAGGATCAATGTTATTTGATCTGATTTATCTATTCCACTTAGCAATTGAGCTGCTACATTCTAAATGTGACAGTGTCCAATGGTAGCCCTTGATGGGGTACATTATGCTTATCCCATCATGAGATTACTAGGGAATGCTTCACTGAGGCCAGACTAACTTAGACCAGATGCCTGGACAAACTTGGTCACAGGATTTCTTTGTTACTGAACTAGCTGTCCCGTTAGTTGACAGATTAGAATAAAAGAGAGACCCCCCATTGTATGCATCTGTGGGAGTGCTGGCTCATCTAGAACAGGACACTTTTAACTCCCAGATCTGAAAATCACTCATCTACAACCATTTTATTTGGTTCAGTTTATTGGACCTTATCCAATTTATCACTGCCCCTAAGCCAAGAGTCTGAACTTCAAATGATCACTAAAACTGGATGTGGTCTATGATCCAGAGTGTACATGCACATGGCATTCAGTACCCTAGCCTTGCTAAACACATCTTTGACTGCAACAGAATATGGGCCATATAAAACAAATTGGAGGGCTGCATGTGATTCATGACCCAGGAGTATGTGCTTTCTTCTCTAAGCAACTAGTATCAGTGTGATCTGATTAAGTGGGTGAAAATTGATTTCAGAATTATCAACACATTCTCTATAAATATCTGCCTGAGCACCTTAGTGGTGCCATGTTGGTGTTGAATAATCAAAAAGAGAGAATGACTCTAACCTTAAACAGAAATTTCCCTCAGCTATTCTGATGGTGGCCCTGCAAATAGGACTAGGACCCTTGAAACAGTTGAGCTGAACTGAGTTGCTTTAGCAATACCCTGCAATCGTTGTCAAAGACACAGAAAGCACATCCCTGCAATCTTTCTAAACAATCATTTATAGTGAGAATCAAGTCACATATATTCTTACTAGTTAAAGTTTCTTCATTGCCCAGAGGTCCATATTTGATGGCTTCATATTTAGAGACCATACATGATGATAGACCAAACACCCTTTTCATTTCCAGGTGCCATAACAAGGCCAGGAGTGCAACAGAACTGCCAGATATTCATCTCTTAAGTTAGACCATCTTAAATGGAATCACCCACAGCAATTTCAAATTGGAGTTGTTGTGAGTTGGGTCATTTTATAAATGAAATTTAGATATAAGTAAGTAAAGTAAATAATATAGCCATGTCTGATACGGTTTTTGGGCAGCAAGGTATGCAGTATCCTGTTCTGTCTCTGCATCCCAAATCAAGTAAAAACAGACCATAGCAACTGGAATATGTTATCTCTTTAGTCTATGCTTATGCTAAGCCAAATATCTAATTGGATAAAACTTGGTCAGACCTGGTCCTCTTATTTCCTCTAGCTTCAGAGCAGTTGAACCCATTCATCTATGCAAAAGTCAGTTAGGTTATCTTTATAAACATTTTACAGAATTCTTCAGGGGCAACTAGCAATGTGATGGCACATTTTTCTTTTTAGTAAAGTGAGCGGTGTGTGTGTGTGTGTGTGAGATCATATTAAATTGTATTTAATACAACACAATAGACTTACCAATTTTCTGTTCTTCTGAGTAAGTTCCATAGTCAGGCACTTCGCTTTGATCAAGAGGTGGGTAGTCTTGTTTGTACTGCACTCCATTCTCTTCATCCTCTTCTAGATGGTATCTTTTCAGTTCTTGAATGATCTCCATTATCAGATTTAAGAGGTTTTGTCTTTCCTTCAACCCCACACTAGATTCTGTTTTTTCTTTACAATGCCCTGCTGAAAGTATCAATGCCATCAGCCCAATCAGCACTGAAGACCTTAGAAGTTTGCACATTGCACTTGTGGGGACAACCCAGGAAAAGAGAATAAATTTCCCACTTACTTCCTGAAAGAGAGAAAATGTTTAAAAAAAAAATCAGAAAGAAGACATGAATTCTAATAGAACAATTTTCATTATATATATATGGAACAAACTACTTAGAGTTGTTGCTGCTTTCTTATTTCAGTAAAATATTCTTTAGCTAGGAAGACAATTGGACTTTAGATGCATTCGTGTAATAGTCTGACATCCTTCATACTCAAAAATATCAAGAAATGTAGTGAAATTGGTGTAGGAGAGAAGATACACTACAAAATCAGCTGGGCAAAGAATAAATGAAAAACAAAATATTAGAAAACAGCAAACTATAGCAAAGATAAAATTTATCCATTTGCTTGGCAGATCCTGAAATCCTGAATGAAATGTATGTGTTAAGCACCCTGCCTCTTAATAAAGCTAAGAGCAGATAAGAAGCTTCAACAAGGAGTAACCAAACTTTTGGGAGGGAGACAGAGAAATCAATAGCAGTGTCACCTGACTCCAGTATATGGTTTCTAAGTCACTGGAAATTTTTCCAGCCTATTCAGATTTGCTTGACTTGATCGTGTTGATTTAGTAAAAAGTTCATATAGTTTTCTACTGATGGATACAGAGGCATTGATCAAATAACAGCTTAGCTAAGTATTTAGAAATCTGCATGACAATCAGAACGGATTTATTACTCTTAATCTTGGTTTGGTAATGTTTTCACTATTTCTAATTTGTACACTGGCCTTCCATTAAAATTTTCAAAGCAGAATATCTCTGAATGATTTGCATTCTGGATTATTTTATCTGCCTCCAGTCATAGTAGATTCTACAAGGCTGCCAAATGCTATTACAAATCATCAATTTACTAAGTGATTACACACATTATACCACATGGTATGTGGTCCTTCAGTAAGCCAGTTCAGAACACTCCAAAACCTTTCAAGGAAAACTTCCGCATCATACAGCTCCAGGTCTGACCTGATCCCATTCAATGCATCAAGAGTTCAAGGCATAACATCTGAATTTAACCCACCCCATTTATCTTATCTGCTCAGACATCAACAGTATGTCAATTTGGCCTTACTCCGAGAGGTCTCCTCCTCCATATTGCTGGGGATGCTCAATGCAGCTTCATTGCATTTGGATTCCCAAAGGTAAAGGATTGCAGAAAAGAAACCACCCAACCCATCACCGTGGAGCACTTTCAATTTCCACCGGACAGGATGGATGTCAGGTTTCACAATGCTACCTAAAATGACTTAATTCGGACTAGATGTTCTGCTCTTTTCTTTCCTCGGAGTGTCTGGCTTTCATTCATAGAGCAGAATTGTCTACAACGAAGCAACACCCCCCACACACACACACCTGCCCTTGATTTCTACTGCCCCTCCTCAGAAGCGCCTTTTGTCTCTCTGGATTAACATCGGTTCAGGAGCCGAACGGATCAAAGGAAGACCTCGCAGGGCGCGCCTAGCAAGAAGGGAAGCCTTCTTGAGACAGGCTGCAAAGATTCGCTTGCGCCCGCACTCGCGGATCGCTGCAAAGAGCGCCCGGGGAACTGTTGAGAGGAGTCCACTAACTTGGCAGGAAGCGAGCGGGCGCTACCCCTGCAGCTGCCACTCCTAAGCAAGTAATTTGACAGACGCCGGCGCTAGCCGCTCGTTCGCACTTGGGCAACTGAGGAGCATACCTGTCTCCTCTGGCTCCGGTCCCTTCGACGGTCCGGATGTCCCCTTTTCTGAAGAGTGAGCCTCCTCCCGCAGCGAAAAGAGGAGCCTTTCACCTCCCCTTCTCGGCTTTCCGTCTTCTCCCAGGCGCGCCAGCCGTCTCTTCTCCTTCACCTAGTCCATGGCCGCGCTTTTTATAGGTTCACAAGGAGTTCATGAGGTGGCCGTCGCCGCCGCCGAGTCAGCTCGTGTCTATTTGCGAGTGGGTGGACGGCCGGCTCTCCGCGTCCCGCTTGGCCACCTCGCGGGCGCCGCAGCTCCCCTGTTGCCGTCACCCAAGTTCCCTCAGACTCCCCCGCCTTTGCAGCCGCGCGCTCTCCTCTTATGCTGCTCCCCCCCCCCCCAAGCAGACGTAGAAGGAGCTGTCCCGGCTCGAGCAAAGAGGAGGGGGGAGGAGGGAGGCACCCACCAAGTTTCTTTAATTAGAAAGCCAGCACTGATCATTTCCCTCACGCGCGCGCGCACTTCATCCACCCCCCTCTCCTCATCCACCCCCACCGCGGTTTCTTTCGGACGTCCAACCTCCTCCACGCTTCCCGTCTCGGGGTTGCATCTTCGGGGCATTCGGCGGTTGCCAACTGAGCACGAATTGCCAGCAAGTTTCGTGACTGGACAACGCTGGAGAGGAGAGGAGGGATGGGGTAGGAAAGGGAGGGAGCGAGGACGGGCAACGGCGATTGTCTCATTTTCCCGAGCGGGAAAAAGAAGAAGAAGCGGTGCCAGTCCCACCTTCCGGTTGAAGAGAAGAAGCTGTCCGGAATTCCCTCCCTGTTACCGGAGAAAGCTTCAGCCGGGCTCCCCCTGGGTTGCTCCCACAGCCCAGGACAAAAGTCCTGCCCTCAGACGGCCAACTTGCGTGCCCGTTCGGTTCTCACAAAACGAGGAGCGCTGCTGGACCCCAATTTGTCCACTCTCCTGTGTTTGCGGGATGAGAGTGTGCCAGGTCAAGACTTGCCCCTCTTTGGTCTCCCACTATTGAAACACACTAAAGAACTGTGGACAGTGGACTAAGTCTTTGTGATGAAAGTGTCTAATGCTTTTTTTTTTTTTAATAGCGCCCCCCCCCCAGCAAGGAATGCCACAAGTTGTGATAGCGAATTCCGCACGTTGAATTAAGTGCTCCTTGTGGGAAGAAGCTCTCTTGTTTCTAAGCCTTGAATATCCTCTCAGACTCATTAGATGGAGTGTCTACGAAGTTTAAGTGGAAATTTGTGGCTTGTTTCAATTTATTACATTGGTATCCTGCCTTTCCTACAAGCAGCTCAAGGGGGCGTACGTGGCCTTCCCTACTTTAATCCTCATACCAACTCTGTGGCTGTGCCTGCATAATATATGGTTAAGGGAACACAGTCACTAAACTACAAATTTGGCTAGCCACAGTTTTAAGCTAGCATGTTGGCCAACTTAGTCTATGAGTTTGACTTAGCAAGTAGGTCTCATGTAGGAATGTCATACTGAGTAGGAATATAAATTATTTTTTTCCACTCCTTAGTTTCTGGAGTTTGTATTATAATTGTAGCTGTTAAATTGTACATAGAGATTTAAATGCTTTAAATTTCTGATTGGCCAAGTAAAAGTACATACCAAGAGGGAGCCCTTCTTTTTTTTCCCCAGTGATCACATTTATTTATTACATCTCTATATAACTCATCTCACCTAAGTGATTCACCTAAGTGTCTAAATTTGAATATTTGAAATATATACACCAATAGTAATGTCAGGACAAAACATCAGCATCAGAAAAAAATGATACAATTAAATTCAACTGTATTAATTAAATAAGGCAAGTAGTATTTTTATCTGTCTATCTATCTATCTATCTATCTATCTATCTATCTATCTATCTATCTATCTATCTATCTTTTAAACTAAAAATGACCAAATAATTAGAATTTAATACATAGACTTTAATGGTGCACTGCAAGACCATTCAGGCTGATTTTTTTCTCATTAAAGTGGAATGGAAGGCAGGTTTTTTTTGTGATACAGTGTTCAAATTCTGGATCTCAGAGCAGTGAGAGGCATTACATTCCAAAAACAAAAGACATTTTTTGCTTGTGCTTGCTTGGAAAAATTGGCTTGGAGAATGGGAAAGAAGAGAGGGGATTAAATTCAGGAATTCATAGATATTAGAGTGGGCCTCAAATTAGAGTGGGCCTCAAATGTGACCTTTTGGATGTCTGGCAAAATCTGAGAGAAGAGTAAGAGGCAAAATTATGTTTGCTGTTATTCTACACCTGAAAAGCAATTAAATATTTTCCCCAAGCATCATCACTGGTATGTTAGGAAAATCCAATACATGTGTGTCTATCTTGTGAATTTGTTATATGTTGCTTTGGTTTTCTTTTGTACTGATTAGAAAAACTGAAAAACACCAAATCTGAAAAAAGTAGGTTCACATGGAATTCCTTAGAGAATATTCTACTTTACAGGGAATACAATTATGAAATGTTGGATTAGGACCTGGAACACCTAGGTTCAAATCTATCCCCAGACCAGAAATTCAATGGGCAACTTGGGACAATCACACAAAATTGCTTAAAGGCATATTGTGGGTAAGTTTGAACCAGGGAGTGCTATCTATGACGCTCTGAACTTTGGAGGAAAGGTCAGCTGTATGTCTCATAAAACAAATAAAGTTCAAATGTCATACACTGTATATCTTGCTTCTATGCTTATTTAAGCAATTAAGGCTGATATTTTACTACAGCCATCATGCAATCCCTGTAATTGCAATTTTTGCAATTATAACAGCAATTTCTAGAGTTTTCAAGGAGAACCCCACATAAAGCACATTGCAGTAAGCAAGACAGGGATGTAACCAAGGTATAGATAATTGTTGCCAGGTCTTGCTTAGAAAGGGCTGCAGTTGATACATATCCATAGTTATGTTAATGTGCATCACAATCACCACTTTGCTAGATCCAGTGACAACTGGAGCTCAAAGAGCACTTCCAGACTGTTATTTTGGGGGGGAATGTTACCCCATTCAAAATAGGTTTCACCTGAGTCAATCCCTCTATCTTTTCTGGATTTAATTTCAGCTGGTTTGCCCTCATCAAGCCCCTTATCAAGATTAGGCAATTTCAATAACATTTGTTGCCTCATTGGATTAGATGTAGGGGCGGTAGAGCTGGATGATATCCGTCCAGTGATGGCACTCCAAAACTCAAAATATCTTCTCACAATAGTTTTATGTAGATGTTATACAGCATATAGTACAAGATAGAACCCTCTGGAATACATTGTCAAACTATCTAGTTATCAAACAGTAATCTCCCAGTAAGTGCTCATGTCCAAATAGGAACAACAAGAACTATTGCAAAGCAATGCCTGCAAGGTCCAGTCCTAACAGGCAGCCCAGAAGAATTGCCATGGTCAGAGATAAGAAAAGCCACTTAGAAGTCCTGAACAACCAAAAGTGATGCACAGCTTATCACCTAGCCTCTAGAATAGGTTACTCACCAAGATGACCAAAGTATTCTCGTGTTTTCCTTGATGAAAATCCAGTTGAAATGGGTTTAACCAATTGAATCCAAATAAGAATAGAATAGAGTTGGAAGGGATCTTGGAGGTCTTCTAGTCCAACCCCCTGCTCAAGCAGGAGAACATCTCAGACAGGTGAATGTCTAGTCTCTTCTTAAAAATCTCCAGTGATGGAGCACCCACAATTTTTGGGAGTAAGCTGTTCCACTGGTTGATTGTCCTCACTGTCAGGAAGTTTCTCCTTAATTCCAGGTTCCTTCTCTCTTTGATCAGCTTCCAACCATTGTTTCTCGTCCTTCCCTCTGGTGCTTTGGTGAACAACCTGGCCCCCTCTGCCTTGTGGCAGCCTCTCAGATACTGGAACACTGCTATCATGTCTCCCCTATTTCTTCTTTTCTTTAGACTAGCCAAACCCAAGTCCTGTAGCCGTTCTTCGTATGTTTTAGTCTCCAGGCCTTTGATAATCTTAGTTGCTCTTCTCTGAATTTTTTCTAAACTCTCAACATCTTTTTTGTGACATGGTGACCAAAACTGGCTGCAGTATTCCAGGTGTCTTACTAGGGTTTTATAAAGCAGTACTAATACTTCGCGTGATCTTGATTCCATGCCTCTGTTTATACAACCGAGGACTGTATTAGCTTTTTTGGTTGCTGCTGCACACTGCTGGCGCATAGTCAATAAAATTTGAACTATCCATACTTATCCAGAAATTGAATGTGAAACTGGCATTTATAGTTACAGAGATCTTCCAGATACAGGGATGTTTTCTTAGTACATGTCTTATACTGAAGCTTCTTCAAGCAAGCAGGAACATATTCCATCATCAAAGAGGCATTGACTGCATCCTTTAAACATGGGTCAGTTGCAGTCTGGCCCAAAATGACAAAGGTTAGTGAAGTAGATTGCCTGTTTACATATCCTGACAATGTTATTGGAACTTGTAAGTGAAAAGTGTGAACAGGACAAATGATTGCCAAGTTTCATATACCATGTCCCAGTCTTCTACTCTTACCTACTCTTACCAAGCTTTATAGCAACACCTACTCAAGAAGTGAGCAGAAATGATGATTCATGTACAATAAGTGGTCTACAAGAGTGGTCTGTTGTATTCACATCAGAAGTGTACTATTTAAGAATTTCCCAAAAAATCATAACTCTTCTTCCATGGAACAATACTTCTATCTCATCAGCCAAATGGGAATAATATTTTTCCGCCAAGATAGTCACTATAGAAATAAATGGGCTAAAATCTGCTATAAGATTCTGTGTACTTGATATATGCAAGTGATTAATCGTAATAATAAGCAAAAGATTATTTTAAAAAATCATATTACTTAAATGAAACACATTCATTTCTTACAAAGAAATATAATATCATCAACATACCTTCTAAGCAAGATAATATACGGGACCAAATGCTACTGGAACAGGATCCAGCAGAAGAATCTTGTTTGCTCTAATGCTGTGTACATAAACCACTCCCTTTTCTGCTAATCAAGTAAATAGAAAGTTGCTGTGTATGAAATGGATAGAGGGAAGTAATTAAGATGAACTGTGATTGATGTAGATAAATAATCATATCCCTTGTAACATAACTGTTTCAGAAGCAAAACAAAAAACAAAAAACTGACCAGGTGGGTTGAACATTGTAACGAGGTAGTAACAGTAATGACACATAATGGTGATAGCTGGTATTGCTCTGGGGAAGCCTTTTGTAACCAAACAAGCATAAGACACAAAAAGAAGTATTTAATTATAAGTCTTCCTTCAAGAGCAGTGAGTCTATGAACTCTTCACTACATGCACATTTTAATTCACTCAAGCTATCTCCTGTTCATTATTA